GTTAACTGCACAGTAAAAACTTCTGTTAGTGCAACTGAATTTTTGCTACTCACGGGGACCAGATGGAAAACTCAGTTGCAGAAACAGGAAGATTCCTGCAGGAGGTCTTTACGTGGCTGATTGCTCGCAGTTACATCTCAAAATCGGATTTCAATCACAGACGTCACGAGGTTTTCATCCGATCTCTAAATACACTGAGAGAAAAATATCTAAAAAATAGCAAATATTTATATGGTAGGTGCTCTGATAACATATTTGCTTAAATTTAAATTCTTTTATTTAAATAGAAGAACAATTTTCATGAAAAGCTAAGATTTTCTTAAAGTGTTAAGAAAATGTGCATTTTCTTATTTTAAAAATATTTTATATTAATATAAATAAATGTGTGTTATTATATAGAACTACCGAATAAATATTAACTATTTCTCAAATATTTTTTCTCTCTTGGTGTAATAGAAAATACAGTTGCACTAATAGAGTTGTTTTCCCCGTATAGAATGGTGTGGTCTGAGATGTTATAAAAATATAATTACCTAACATTTTTTTTAATTACGTCGGAAACATCAACTCTCTCTCATTCTGTGTTTAATTCCCCAATTCTTTTAATGTCTTCTGCCACTCTTCTCGGAGACGATCCTTGTCCCTCCCAAAACGGACTCGTTATACACCACCGTCTCCCGTGTGTTAAAATAATTAATATAAACAGTCGAATATGGGGTAAAAGGATGACAGGCGTATAGTCGCCGAAACAAAAAATTCTACTCAGAATATTTAAAACGCAAAATGAATTTTTCCCCTGTGCAAAATATTCCATGAAAATCATTTTAGAACTTTATTTCGCGATCAAGCGCGCCCACGGGAGGCCACTTCGGAGTTTGTTATCACACGGCGCGGCTGAAATCGCCCCGACGGGCGTTTAACTGTTCACGTCGGTCGATAGACAGATGCGTTATCCATCTGTTAAGCCTTTAATAAAAGGGGGGACAATCGGAACGAAGGTAACTACGGCCGCCGAGCTGTCATCGTAAGCGCGACGGTAAAGGCGGAACGTCTTTGTCGAGGTCCATTTTTCACGATCGATCGTGCGACCGAGCGTCGCGACGTTCACATGAATTAATACCAGCTGGGGCGGTCGATCGGACGACGATTGATCGATGCCGAACGATTATCGGGTGTACATGTAACCGCGAAAGGAAAACGATGTGAAACATGAAGACAGCGCTGGGTCTCCGCCGTGATTTCTTTCTCTCTATCTCTCTCTTTCTTTCTCTCTCTCTCTCTCTCTCTCTCTCTCTCTCTCTCTTTCTTATGTTGTGTCTCTGATTGCAAGAACGTTTGTAAAATGTACTCGAGAAAAAGTCGTGCAACCGAATGGGGAATCAAATAGAAATTCGGCGATGTAAAATGATTTCTCGCGACCAAACACATTTCTCGGAATGTTAAAACTTGACTGCAATAACTGAAAATAATTGGCTGATCAATCTCTCTTACACACTGAGAAGATATTATTTATCAGCCAGTTTAATCATACTTTTATATAAAGTTTATTTTTGTAAAAAAAATCCTATACAAATATATCTTTAAGAATTTTTTTCTCAGAAATTTTGCTGTTTCTGCAATCAAGTCATTCATCTGATTCCTGCTTTTACTAGTACGGAAAATTCAGTTACACTAACGGAATAATATTTTCTTTTAGTATTTCTTTACAATGTAAAGCTGAACTATATCGAGATTGTAGGACAAATTACCACAGAAATAGTAAATTTGGTGATCTACCTGATATAAAAAAAAAAGAAGAAAAAAATACTCAGATAATTACGATAATTTTATAGTGAACGGTCAAACGGGCATAATGTTTTTAAAGAAATACGTAATAATTTCGGTCATAATTCTATAGGATCCAAGGATCACAAAAATTGGACTGTAAACTTCACTGCAATATTTTCTCCGTGTATGTTTCGCGACTCGTGACGGGCTGTGAGATTCGGCAAGGAGCTCCGTCTTCTGCGAAGCGCGGTTGCAAGAATAATTGATCGCGCGAGATCAATTATCTTGCGTGCGCGCGTCGTCGGGAACGTTGTATCATGTCGAGGAAAGTATGACAAGTGGCTGATTCCGAGTAATTTATGTTAACGCGCTATTCCCCGACTGGCAGTAGCCGCTGTTGGTACGACCATTCGTCTTCCGCGGCGAGGGTAACTGTTGCTTTTTAATCATGCCAGTTTCGTACGGCCGATTCGACATTCGAAACTATCGTGACGCATGAAAAACAACTTACGCGCGCCTCCGCCGAACTTTTTTCACCGGCCGTAAATCATTTTTATCTCGGGTTATATTTTGGCAAAATATTTTGCCATCCGTTGTCCGCTTTTATTTCCCGGCGTCGATCGTCCACTACTACTATTACTACTACTACTACTGCTACCACGTGTAGGTCGTGTATCGCGCGCAACGTCCCGCGAGAAAAAGAGCGAGCAAGAGAGAAAGGTCCTAGCGAACATGGAATAAATTCTATTCCGCTCTCTATTGGGAGATCCGACCATTTCTCTTTCGTCTCTAAATCTCCTCGTTTCTCTTTCCCGTGCTGGTCGAGGGAACGGGCGGTCGGTCGGTCGATCGGTCGGTCGGTTAGTTGGCTGGGCGGACGCCAAAATGCCGCTGGTAAAATTAATCGTTCCCTGACACGAATTCCTCTCTAAGTGGGAATACCAATTTGTAGGTGCGAAACAAAGAGAACGCCTCGGGGCGAGACGATGGTTGCGGCGCGTTGCGCGCCGGGGTGAAAGCCGGAAGGTGGAGAGAGTGAGAAAGACGGCGGAGGCGGCGGGGTCCCTAAACATGTCGTTATATCGAAGCTAACAACCCGGTTTACGCCGCTCCTCGGCTCGTTCTTGGCTTCTCCTGGGAGAGAATGCCGGCGAGCGACGCGCGGCGCGTCCGCCGATTATTGGCCGCCGGCCAAGTGCCCCCGAAGACTTATCCTATTGAGCATTGTTTATGAAAGCAACGCGACTACAAAGCGCCGCCGCCTCGCGCGCGCGTCTTTTTCGAAGGTGGCAGTCCGCGACGCCAAATTAGTGATGCCAAATTAATTGGAGCCGTCGGCGTGTCGACTGTTTTGTCGCGTGCTCCGATTGTGTCTCTCTCTCTCCCCCCTTCTTCTCTTTCCTTCTCTCTCTCTCTCTCTCTCTCTCTCTCTCTCTCTCTGTGGCTAACCCAACGAGGCATGCTTTTGTGCGAATGCGCGATTGCGAATCTCAAATTTGCGAAAGTTCTCCTCGTCGTCTTCGCGCAACGCCACGTTCTCGAGAAACATGACTTTTCACTAGTTATGTCAATTTCAAGTAGTTTCGGGACTCCATGGGGGTCTCATGTAAAGTAAACGTGTCAACGTTTGGACACCAATAAAAGACCAGCTGTAATGCGGTCGCAGTTACGTTTTAAGGTCGTGACTCACCGGTCTGTGACTCGATCAGGTATCTATTTTCTTCGCGTAAACTATTGAACAATGAAAGACTTTACTTAATTCGACAATAAATCTTTTCATTTTTCACGAATACAATCTGAAAACGTAACTACGACCGCATTGTAAACGATTCCTAACATTGGTAGCGAACTCTGAATATTTTTATATTGGTTTTTAAATACGAATATTTAAACTTTTAATGTAATGTGTATATATATATATATATATAGCGGTAACTAATTTTGTGCAGATTAGGTCAAACTGAACAAAAGATTTCTCTCCCATTTCGCGAACAATTACGTAAAGTTTTTAGTTATTAATTAAAGAAAATTACATGTGTATATATTTTTTATAGAAAATTTAAATATTCGTAAAAAAAGAAGGTTGGTTGAATTAACTAAATGTAAGGTGAAATATGAATCAGAAGATCCGGTTGAAGTTACCAGGATTTTCTGCTTTGTTCGCATTTCGCCAGATGTTTGTTTCATCCAACCAAATATTTTTGCCATGTATTTCAAGACCACAAGAAAAAAATTTTCAGAATTACGTATCAGAAGTTATTAGCGTTCAGGCATTGTGGTATTTTCACCTCACTCCATATGCTGTCAGTATAACACCGGTATTTCCACATTCGGAATTAAAAGAATTCTTTTTGCGGAATCATGTGTTTCTCTTTACACAAATTTATTCTCCTCGTCAATCTGCGTATACAAATAGTCGCGAGCGAAGTCAACAAAAAATGCATGCTCTGCCGGGCGCTGCATATTTTATTTTGACACGTTCTGTTGCAACAACTGAAAAAAATGAAATAAAGCGAACATTCCATAAAGTATCCACTGTTTGTTGACCTCACCTCGATATTTTTATGCGCGGAATAACTTTGGGAATAAAAATCATAAAGAACAAATAACAATAAGAGGAATAAATAATCGCTACTCTATATACTGGTGCTTATTTTTCACTATGCAAAGGAAGAGCCGAGAGATTCAACGAAGCTAAAAAATTGTCGCGGTAAAATGCGAGCGATTGTTGCGCACAATCGACGAGACAACCGACAAACGTGCACCGTATAAAATGGTATTGGGCCGGAGTAATACGCAACGGCGCAACTTGTCTGTCTTCTTTATAAAACAGTAATTGCGCCGCCGGAATGCAGCGGCACGGTGAGCGAAGTAACGTGTGCCTATCGAGCTAAGAATGCACCGACAAGGCGCATCTCTCTCGTTTTACAAAGAAGACGACGGGAACGCTCGCGCTTCACCATTGCAGATATGTCGATATTATCGTTGCATCCCTGGTTATTACGTCGTTTTTGAAATTTCCATCGAGTCGCGAGAAGGCAACCGCACGCTTTAGCCCGACATCGATTTTTATCGAATCAACATAATTCTTTTTGCTCGGCAATGTCAATTCCTTTTCAATTTTTCGGAAATCGCGTGTCGCGCCAACGCACAAGTCCGTAGCGAATAGCCAAACCCCTAAGCAAGTTCGACATATTACATCGATGTGAAGAGGAAACGCTCGTGTGTTACAGATCGGAGGCACGTCGATCGGCCGAGGCGCGGTTCTGGGTCGGAAGATCAGAAGAGAGGACCGCACGCGCTAGGCTGACGTCGATCGAGAGAGGACCCCTCGGGACATGGATTAACTCGCGGATTGACACGCGGGACAAGCGGAGAAGAAGAGAGAAAGAGAGAGAGAGAGAGAGAGAAAGAGGGAGAGAAGGGGAAAGGGAGAAAGAGAGAAAGAGAGAGGGGAAGAGAACGTAGTCTCGAAATACAACGTGCACGGATGGTCGCGGGATCTTCTACGTCGGAGTAATCAAGGTGGGTCAAGCAAAAGTGTGCTCGGGTGGTGTGTCGTGATCGTCATAGGCAGTGGCTCTGTGATCGTGGTGTCGTGTTATCCGCGGATCAGTGTTATTATCGGAAGTGAAGAGTGGTGATTGAGAGAGGGAGAGAGAGAGAGAGAGAGAGAGAGAGGGGGAGAGAAAGAGAGCGCGAGAAAGAGGTTGCATACGGGGGTTGTTGCTCGTTCCAAGTCGATCGGTGAATCCGCGAGTTGAGAATTAATGCGACAGGATCGCGAGTGGTAACGGCCGAAGGTGTTGGGATATATCAGGTTTTTCTGCACGAGAGGAAGAAGCCGGTGGCGAGTGTACGCGCGCGCGATAACAGTGAGGGCAGAGCGCGACTGAAAGGAAGAAAAAAAGAAAGAAAGGGAGAGAGAGAGAGAGAGAGAGAGAGAGATACGTCCGGATAAATCGCGAATATCGTCGAGCCGAGAGTAGTCGCGAGAGAGTGGAGTGATGTGTTCGATGGACGAGGCGCGTCTCGCGGGCGGTGGTCGTCGTCGGGGTAACGATAACGCGTGTCGCGCGCGCTGCCACTACTTGGGATCCGTGAGAAAAGGCGGGCAGTCGGTGATCAGGCTGGCGGGCGCCGGGGAAACGTTTCCAAGGGCATGGCGACCACGCCACTAGGCGGTCGCCTCCCTAACGTAAACCGCAAAGGACCATCTCCGTGTGTCGGTGGTGGTGGTGCTAGTAGTAGTAATAATAGTAGTAGTGGTGGTGGTAACGGCAACAGCAACAACTACTACAACAACAACAACAACAACAACGCCAGTAACGGCAGCAACAACAACAACAACAACAACGGTTTAGCGGGCAGTAACGCCGGCGGACAGTCCCGGCGGCAGGAGAGAGCGCTGGTCGGCCGTGAGCACCGCGACCATCGCCACCATCATCATCACCATCATCACCATCATCACCATCATCATCACCATCATCAGGGTCGGGACAGGTCGTTGTCGTCGTCGTCGTCGTCGTCATCAGCGTCCGGCCAGCAGCGTGAGCCTAAAGCAAGCACGGTGGCTGCTAACGCCGGTGAGCTGGATCCGGCCGCGACGAATGCGACCAACAACTTCGAGTACGACGACAACGAATGGGACATCGGTATAGGAGACCTGATAATCGACCTTGATGCGGACATTGAGAAGACGAGGGACGAGAAATTGAGCTCGGGGACAGGCATGGCTTCTACGCCTGCCTCGGCAGCATCGGCAACGAATAACGCGAATCATCATCAGTTGCAGAACTCGGCGGGCAGCGGCAGCGGAAGCGGCAGCGGCAGCGGTAGCGGCAGCGGCAGCAGCGTCACGGGCACCACCGGCATCGGACAATCGTCGTCGTCGTCGTCGTCCGGCACATCCTCTTCGTCCCTCTCGTCGTCATCCACATCGTCCTCGTCGTCAACGTCGTCGTCCTCCTCCTGCGGCGTCAACTCGTCGTCGTCGGCACGCTCCAACAGCCCCGGGAGCAGCGGCGGCACAGGCGCCAACAGCGCCGGCAGCAACGGCGCCGGCGGTAACGCGAACGGCACGTCAATCGTGGCCGGTAACAAGCAGCCCACGGGCGTCGTGAGCGGCGTAAACGCCGTCCACGGTAACGCCGGCAATCCCGGCAAGATGGCCGTTGAACACTCGGCCACCGTCGACAAGGGCCTCAAGATGAAGATCAAGCGCACCAAGCCCGGCACCAAGACCAGCGAGGCCAAGCACGAGATCGTCAAGTCCAACGAGATCAACGGCACCGCCTCGTCGCAGGACGCGAGCAACGCGTCCGCGGCATCCTCCGCGTCCGCCACGTCCGCCGCCGGCGGCTCCGGCGCCGTTTCCGGCACGGTCGCACAGAACTCACAGAACTCAGAATGCGGCGCGACCGGCGGCGGCGGTGGCGGCGGCGGTGGCGGCGGCGGCGGCGGCGGCGGTGGTGGCGGCGGTCAGTCCTCCTCCTCCAACAAGTCCTCCAAGCCGAGCCACAACGCTCCCACGTCCGCGGGGGGCAACGGCGCTACACCCTCCTCCACGGCGGGTTCCAAACGCGGCTCCAGCGGCCATCGACGCGACAAGGCGCGCGACAAGCACGACAAGCCGCAGAGCAATCACACGCCCCAGCAGACCAAGCCGGAGATGAACGGTACCGCGCGGCCCACTCCGCAGAGTCAGAACTCGGCAGGTGGCGCGACGCAATCGCAGGGCCCGACGCCGGCCGCCACGGCGCCACAACAGACTCAGGGACCACCGCCCAGCTCGAGGACAGGTTTTTCCGTGTCACAGGGCCCGGGACCACCCGCGACAAGCGCGGCGGCACCTTGTCCGCCGCCCAGTCCGGCGAGCGCGACCGCCGCCGGTGCACCCGCCAAGCCGGAGCAGACCAAGGTCGCCGCGGTACCGGGTCCACCTCTGACCACGCAAGCCGAGGAGGCCATGGACACTGCCGCCAGCCCTCCACCCGCCAAGAAGATGAAGACTTCCAATTCCGAACCAAAGGTAAGTTTTTCTCTCACTCACGATTGATGCCTAGAGGCATCTCTCCTCTTCTCGACCAAGACCAAAGGTCGAATTAGAGCCGTGAATCCTCTCGTGCGCGTCAAATTGATGCACGGAGAGGCACACACGATACCTCAACGGCGAAGACATGTAAACGCGAGAATCCTTTCTTTCTCCCACACAACTAGCGACTAATTTATTCCTGTGCTGCCAATTACCGCCACCACGTGACAACCGAGAAATATGTTCAGCTCAAGAACCATTTTTGAGTGCTACTAGTAAAGATTCTTGAATTCGTTCACCCCAAGTAATAATTTTAACTTCTTCATGAAAACTGATTTTTTTCAACGTTCGTATTAATTCTCCCTGTCGGAGAAATTCGAGGGACTCGAGCGCGCATAATGATGTTGTCTTCCGGCAGCTAGTTAGTCGCCGGGAGCTCCGCCCGACACCTCTGATCGCTATCTTCGCTTCGTCGACGGCCGCGACGTGTAACGCTCGCACGCGTCTACCCGCGACACGGAATCGATTACGTAAGTCCGCGTGTATGTGCATAAACGCACCGCGATCCAACGATACTCCACGGTGCATGCGTTGTGCATATATGCAACGGCAAAGATTCCCAAAACAATTCCAGAGAGAAATTTTGTCAGCATCCTGGGGTTGTCCAAAGATTCGAACTATCTCACACGCGAGCACCAAGAAATTCGAATTTTACGGCCTCCTTATTGAATTCAATTCTGAACTTATTCTATACGAACAAGAGATTACAGAAACACGAAAATTTTACTGAAACGAACGGGGGCATCGCCATCTATACTGAGAGGAAATATTATTGATCATGCTATATAAATTATGTATATAGTAATTTTCGGCTAAATTTAATTTTTGCAATTAAAAGTAATTTTTGTTCCAGCAAAAACGGTAACCGCAATATATGCGTATAAAGTTATCATCAGGAGCACTCCGACGCTTTCTATGAAAATAGCTTCCCTGATTTAGAACTTTCTCACTGTACTGTTTCAAGCCACAAATACGAAACATTTCTCTCATTGTACAATTCTGAAATTGAGTTCGTATAACTCGACTCGAGTTGAAAAAAAAGAAAAGAAAAAGTTGGAGAGCGAGAGCTCGCGAACGGTAGAAATGACGGAGACGCGTCGACGTTTCACGCGTTATATTTTCTTTTCGTACAAATGGGAATTTTGAAGGAACGATATCTTGACGCGTTTCACACATACACACTCTCTCTCTCTCTCTCTCTCTCTCTCTCTCTCTCTCTCTCTCGTTCCTCTCTTTCCACACCGGGGTGAGGACTATCGGCCGCTGCACTTGAATAAATAAATCTGCTTCTCGAACGCGCGAGCGAGCGTTATTGTAAAATACGAGCCTCGGTTTCTGTCGGAGCATCGTGTCGTGTCGCGACTCGCGTGCATGTATACGTCTGAAAATAAACGCGAAGCGAAAAATATCGTTTGAGAGATACGGCGGAGCGCCACAAATAAATCTCGCTGCGCGCGCGCGTCGGGGCGTGTTCCCTCGATCCAGCCATCAAAAGTTGTGCATTATTTCCCCTCGAAGAGATCTATAACGTTATCGCATTTTACGCTTGGCCGGACGTGACGAAAGAGAGAGAGAGAGAGAG